CGGGAATTGGGGCCCCAACATGCTCACCTACATTGACTTCGGTATCAAACAAATGTCTTGTCTTTTCCATGCACCCATCACCCCATGGTGTCCCGCTCTTTGGACGCAGCACTTGCTGCGTCCAGTGCCGCTCTTCTTGACTTTGTTACAATATCCTCCCACTGCTTTGAGCCCTGCAATCTGGAAAGAAGCATACACCATCCAGGCAGGCCTTTCCAACATCCTTCCAGTCCGGCGAGACTTGAATTAGCATTTCTTTGATATAGTATATACTGTATATATGTAATATATAGATAGATTGTCAATTTGATACCCACTTCGACCATCAATTGGAGTTTTGGAAGATTACAAAACCCGCCACTCACACAGTGCCTCTGGACGGGTAGGTAGAACTCATCCTCTTCATATATCACCTCTTCTTGCGCCACTCGATTTACCGGGACAAGCTGTCATCTCGATCTCCATACACTTTGACTTAATCTTGTCTCACCAACTCAACGGTCGTGGAGGAAAATGCTGCTGCCTGGCAGATATTAAATATTACTATTCAACATCTATTGTGCGGGTGTGCAAGCAATTGAGTTGCAAACAAACAACAGACACATCGATCAATCTCCCGGTCTCCTGTCGAGTTTCCGTCACCCAGTCACCCTAGTCACCCATCCGTTCCGGTTTACCGGGCCACAAGGTGTGGCCAGCATTGGCCCCACCGTTAAAGCGGGCGCAGAGTTGAACCTTCTGTGCTAAAATGTCCACCAGCTTCCCTTTACCTCGGTGCGTACCGTACTCCGTTTTGTTCAGCAGCGTACACGTCGAGTCTTTCGGAGTGAAGACCCGGTGGTGAACGACACTTCAAAGAACCACCAAGTGACCAAGTCGCGGAAAGTCTTAGTCTTGAATGAGAACAGGGATGATATGATGATATCCAAATCTCTTGAAATACATTGAAAGACTAGCATGATGATCTCGCTCAGGATGAGTCTGCGTGATAAACGATGCTGCGCCTGCTGCGCGCAAACGCACGACAGAAAAAGAGTAAAGCTCTTGTCTTCAACGTCTGGACTCAGTTCCATACCCACCTCAGTTCCTTCAATGCGTTCTGATTCATCTCTGGTGTCTTGAAGGAGCAAGGACTTCAAAGCCACAACTACCTCCTAGTTCAGCTGGCAACCTCCTCATGGTTGCCAAACACATTCAACAAAATCTCCAGATTTGTGCAGGGAGAATAGGTATAGAAAACCATCTGGTACATCCCAAATGTCCTTGCATTGTTTTGCATTTTTGCATCATAGACTAGAGGACGGGATGGGTGCAACGTTTACCACATAAATAAAAAAAAGCATCCACGCACCGGCCGAAGTCATGAACGAACCTAAGATCCTATCCAACAACCACCATTCCCTTAAGCTTTAGTCATGTTCCTCGTCCTTTCTTCCAGACACCCCATGTCTTCCCGAACGGTTTCGTCCGGCCTTCGTCTCCCCACCTGAGGGCCGGTGATGAGCAAGATCAACCGCCCGGAAGTCGGTGGAAAACGGGTCTTCCGCCAAACATGTGCCACTTCTATATGACTGTTTCAGGGAGTGTATCATAATATATAGATATTGTGTGTGTATGACATGTTCTGTCCATTGGTCAAAAAGCAGGCAGTCTTTGCTTCAACGAGGCTCACCTGTCTCTTTGATTGCTTTGGACATCTTCCCCAAAGAACCTCCTCTCAAAACAAATGGGCGCTGGAGGGTAAGCACACAGCAAATAGAGCCGAGTATGAGTAATGCATTCTTTAAAAGTTCTGGGCTGTGACCAACCGTTTCAGACCAAGAGCTGTGCTGGGCTTTTCTTTTTCTCACCGAAGGCATCCCAAGGCCACGGGGTGGGCGAGGACGGACCCTGCCGGGCCTTCACCCGAAACGGAGGACGGACCCGAACGGAGGTCGGACCTTCTATTTTGGTTCGGGCCCGGATTCTGAAGGTACTTCCAATATCGCATCGAAGTCGTTTCACGTCCGTGTTGGTCTTCGGTCGTCTTCCGGTTTAAACATGCCATCCACTGCCACTTCCGGTGTTCGGAGTGTTGAACCGGGGAATTTCTTGGCAGCCCCAGGTTCACCCACCTCAACAAAATACACATGGATCCATCCAAGTGCTATCCACGACCCAAATTGAAAGGCATGCAATCAAGCACAAGAAGATAGAACAACTGGACCTTGGTTTCCCCCAATACAGCCTTTACCTGTGGAACTCATCCCAGCAAGGGCACCAAAGCAAAGGGCGCGTTCTGCACGCGCCACGTGGGCCTATTTGTGGCTATTGTCTCAGTGTTATGTGCTGCTCACTGTTTCAGGCTAGCCATTTTATATGCGACACGTTGGGCGCCTGGACGTGCTTGACACGATGTTTTAAGGGCTTAAAGCCTTCCAAAAACGGACCACTTGGACACGTCGAAACAACACTGAGAAGTTCTGAGAAACATCCAGCCACACCATGCTGAACCCCTCACACCCGGCCAAAGGTGCCTTCAGGTGCTGTGAAGGAGACCAGGAGCCAAACAAAAGAAGACTTCAATGAATTTGCTCGTGGGAACACTTTCTAAGGGGACTTCATTCTTGTTCGAAGACTACAGGTGCGCATGCACATGCGCTCGCGCTGGGACCCAGAGGGACCTCGCGGGACTATCGACCAGAGCGAGGCCGGGCTGACGCAAGGCACGACAGTTTGAGAGCAAAAGCAGTTTCTTTGGTCTCCACGAAAAGCACCTTCCATTAAATTCAACTTTCCCCCACCTGAATTAGATTTCAATCTGACGGGGATCCCCATTCTTGCGTATAGAAATGTATAGAGTATGTATTCAGAAAACAACACCCCAAAAGCCTCTGATTTAACTAACATCGGGGTCGGCTTTCCGCCAGGGCATCCCTCATCAGTTTCCCGCGGTGGATAAACAATTCCTTCACCACAGAGTAAAGAACATACTGCTTCTTCATGTCGTACAATATCCCTTTCCTCCATCTTTCGCCCTACCAACGCCTGCGCGCGCGCTGTGCGCGCACCGTCTCATCTTCTTCGGGGCTGCTTTTTGGGACCCGAAAAACCTCCCCCCCAAAGAATCCCGCAGGTTCAGTGTTGTGCACCGGCACGATGATCCTCCTTCCCTGAAAAACCGAGGCGCTGTGCACCCAAAATCACACAGAACTTGGAATCTTCCCCTGTGGCGCTTGATGCCTCAGGTCCGCAGCTGGTCATCGCGCGGTGACCGGTGTCTGAGGGTTTTTTTTTCGACTTTCTGCCCTTCGGAAGGCCGGGTCAGGTGAAGGCGGGTTTTTATGTCGGGTGAACAAGTTGAAGGAGTGCTGGGTGAGAGTTCTATGAACCTCTGGGAACTGGATCTTTTTCTAAAAAGAACCGGAACAAGTCCCAGTACATATAGTTCTGGGGGTCTGCCTGCTTTGATGCACTACCCACAAACTTTACATTACTTTCCCAATTAAACCTGAGATATCCTGAGATGATACAGCAATTCACCACCACTCCTTGACGTGTGCGATGTGTATCCTCTACCATTTGAATACAATGTGCCTCGTGCAATTCGCGCCGTCCGCGTTCCGATCTCGCACACCCGGATACTGGCACCGAGTGGAAGACAGACTGTTCTGCACCAGTTCCTTCTGGTTCGCTGAGACTCTCGTTCTCTTCACAGCCAGACCTGGAATAAACCTCTTCCGGTTCCGACCGCTCGCTCAAGTAGGAGGGGCGGAACTCGTTCGCCGCGCGAATGGGGAGCGCGAGCTCAACAAAAAGCAACTGAACTGCAGAAACTGGACTCCAAGACGTGATCTGAGCGAGTGAGAACTATAGAGGAGCCCCGTTCATAGCGTCCTGGCTCCGTTCGTAGCGATGCCCTTTGCTCCGTTCGTAGCTTTCTTGCTCCTAGTAGTACGGCCAGGAGCCCCTACATTACAAAACCACCGGAGAGGTACTTGGAGTGATACCTGGTTCCTGTGAGCTGCTTGCAGACTGCTTGCAGTTGAACATGTTCCCCCTGGTCTTGTTTGCACTCATAGAAGCCAGCTTGGATTTGGGAGTGTGATAGTGCAAATCTTATTCAATCATATTCAAACGTAGCATACCTGCCACTCTGCCCTGGAAGGTCCAGCAAACACCGGATTTCGCAGGATCGCGCATCAGTCCGCTTAGCTGCCATAGAGTTTGTCCAGCCTGACGCCTGGAGGTGACAATGGATCTCGGATTTCTGCATCAAACGAAACTGGCCACATATGCATGCCTGTCTTCACATGCTTTGAGTTCAAGAAACGTATGTTGAATGATGTAGGTGGCTGGCTGTTTAAACTTCAGTCACCTGAGCCCACTTCAGCGACAAACCCGCCGAGGCCTCGCGCGCCGAGGGGTCAAGACGTCGTGTGGAAACGCTGAGCTTCAATGGAGTTCTGAGGTCTGCGATCTGAGATCTGAGAAGGAGAGCTGTAGCAAGATGGAGATCTCATCGATGATTCTTCAATTGATTGAAGCTCTGGTTTCACTGCTGAGCCGAAAACCAGCACATGTGAGGCAGGCTGGAAGAACATTTTGTGGTGCAGGCAACTGCCAAGATTCATGAGTCTGGAAAGAATCATGATCGTCTTTGAAGGGCAGTTCTCGCTTCCATTGAAATTATGCGGCCAGATATGGCAGATCACGAAGTCCATACCGCCGGACCAACAACTATACAAAGTCGCGAATGCAGTGTTTTGTGGTGTACGTAGAAAAAACGCGTGCGCGGCGATATGAATGTCATCTAACACCATCTCACAAACGACGGGCTTTTGAAGCAAGTGACTACACCATAAAACAAATTATGCAAAAAATGGACGGGTCTCATCTGTTGAACTGAATGTGCCACTCCCATCCAGCCCAGGATTGGTGAGAACATGGCACAAGTAATTCTTATTTGGTACACATCACCGAACAAACCTGCCCCAGCAAAGGTTTCACCACCGTCCCACCTGCCGTAGGCGAATGCGAGTGGAGCCCATGTAGCCTTGCACACGTGCGTTCGGCTCAAACAAACACCAGTCAGGAATGGGAAGATGAAGACTTCCTCCCACCTGCGGTCTTTGAACAGTTTTGATTTTTGATGATTCATTGTGTTGTTCTCGAACACTGACAAAACCCGAGAAGGAGAAGGAGGAGTCAGGACGAACGAATATCTTTGCCCAGCTGGGACGCGTGGAGTCGGGCTCAGATCTGGATAGAAATTCGTGACAACAATCCTTGCCCAAGATTAAAGATGAACAAAATTGCTTAGCCATGATGTCTCTCTCTCTCTCTCCCCCTAAACAACACTCTTACAAATATCTGCTTTGAACAGCCAAGACTTCCAGCAATCTTGGAACAAAAACAGCAAGCCCAGCCCTGCCCACCCTGCTCTCAAGAAAACCAATTGACATGGATGAGCCCCAGAAGGTTCGCTGGAGTTCCGAGATCAAACAAGTCCTGCCCGACCTGCCCAAGGAGTCCATAACCTCGCACTCTGAGTTTTAGGAGAACCCGCGAACCGCTTACCCGACTCTACTTGGGCATACTTGGGCTGAGATAGTCACATGACGAGTCACCGCCTCCATTTTCCAGAATCTGCATGGGGAGATCTTGTTCCAACATTTTGCACACACAAATCTGATCAATGTGTTTTTTTGCCTAAAAGAGGTCATGGCAAAGCCTCTTCTCAGGCTGATCACGAATGAACGCCTCCGATTCTTCGACCGATGTCGGGTTGGCCTGGAAAGGCAAAGTGCCTTAAGGCCAGGAGAACCTGCGGAGTGCTCGAGCGACCACGTGGTCGGGAGGTTTCACGTGGATTCCGTCATGCGTCGCAGGTTTTTGACATGGAAGACCCCAATTCATCAGTAAGACCAGAGTCGATGGGGTCTCTTCTGGATGAGTTTCTTTCACAAGTAGAGCATGGAAATCCAGAAGAAACTGTGGCTATGAATGATTCTATGATCCAATTTGCTGGAGATCCACGGACCTCTTATAGACCAATACCAGCCGCTGTTTGTAGAACCACTTGTCAAAAACATACCTTTCTGGAGAATAGATTGACAACGTCTATGAGTCTACCGTCTTCACAAGATCATAGACCCGCCTGAGCCTAGTCTACCCTACTACCAAAGCAGGCACACAAGTTGGACATTTGCGGTACACTATGTGTCCCTGGAGAAAACCATCCTCTTAATCTACTGCAACTCCTTTTCTTTTTCTGCAAGCCTGTGATCGTCTGACCTAGTCTGACGCCCAACGTGCGCCCAAGAGGGTCATGCGCCGTGACGCAATACTCTGAGTGACTAGTGAAACAGAGTTCGTGTAGATGTCTAGATTTCTGGCTTTGTTGCCGCTGTCTAGACAAGAGATTCTCCTGCCAGGATCTCGGAACAAAGCCAGAGTACCGGATCTAGATCTCCTGCCAGGATTGAGATTCTCTAGATCTCGGAAAATGAATCCTGCGCATGTGCGGGGCCTTTGAGGTTCCCGACATGGTTTGCTTTCCCCTTTCAAGGTACAAAACAACATGAGGGGAGCCCCCAACCATTGAGTGTCGGTTCTGCTCCCCTTTCCAATCTTCGGATAAACCGCGGTCGGCATCACTTTGCAGCCATTCTCCTGCCAGGAAGGTTTAGAAGCGAAGACTGCGCTGGCGGCATTGAATGCAAAAAGGGCAAAGCTCTTAATACTACGGTATTTTCATCTGCAAAGTCATCGAATGTGCTTGAGTAGCTCTTTCCTTTTACCCAACAACTGCATCACTTCATTCATTGGAGTTTCCAAGGCACGCCGAATCGGTTTCCAACTCAAGTGAGGTCCACTAAAACTTTCATCTTCTCGAGCTTCAATCTGGCGAAGTCAACAGCATAGTTGCCCTGAACACTTGCTTGTCCAAAAAACGATACTTGAGACCTCGTTCCAATATCTTCGAAGAAGCACCTGCACAGGCCAGGAAGCTCACTCGTCACTGGTTTCAGGCCTCTACCCACCAACCAGTTCCCTCCACCCAGCACGGCCCACCAACTGCGTTGCCATTTTGCGCTCATCGACCAGGCGTGAAGGTCTGTCGGAGCGCATCGAAGCGAGTGATGTTCCACTGGTCCACCTGGGAAATGAAGAAAAACACACAGAAAAGAAATATTGCTTAAGAAGCAATGGCCTCCACCCTAATATATATATATATATA